AGGAAGGGTCAGGGCACTGCTTCTGTCTGGCCAGCAGACCTGGAGCAGTGTGACAAGAGGAAATGAGCAATGACAGGTAACACAGATGCTGGCGGAGCAGAGTGAGGAAGTCCATCCATGAGGAAGCTGATGGGCTGGGTGAGGAGACTAAGCCAACCCTGGGCTCCACTGCTCACAGAGGAAGCCAGGGCAGGTGGGTAGTGGAAGGTTACCACGTAAATACCCATGGTAAAGACTTGTCCATCTGACAGGAAACAGTGAACAGAGCCTAGAGGTAGAGATTCAGTTCCCAATTTTTGGACAGAATTTCAAGGTGTCCTAAGGAGCCATCTGTGCTGTCACCTGCAGGCCAGGGTCAGGGACATTTCAGCCTGGCTGCTGGATAAGCTCTCAGCTCTGTTGCTGTGTGGCTCGGTGACAGCTGCCCTTCGCCTGACTTTCTTGACCTCCTACCCGCCTTTGAGGAGAGAAATGGCTCCAACAAGATGGTATGAAGGAATCACTGTTGTGACACCTCCGGCCGGGGTATCTGCGTCATCTTGGCGCTGCCTTCTCCTGTCCCCCACATTTTGAAGAACAGCCCTGTGTAGGTGCTCCTTCTCTGTGCCTGCACTGCAGATGCCAGGTGAAATGAATCAAAAGCGGCAGTGAGCGCTGTGCTAAGCCTGCCTGTCAGCAGTGCCTCTCCTCCGTGCCAGCACCAAAGTCTTGGCATCTCCTTTCTTCCTATATTCCCGTGCCAGAAAAACACAGCCCACCACCTGAACAGCAGAGGAAAGAACGCACAGGGCTTCAGTGCTCACACTGCCAGCAAGACAGCTTGTGCCACACAGGGAGCCAGGAGGGGACTTGGAGATCAATTGGGAATGGCAGGAAAGAACATTCTCCAGGTCCTTCTGCGGCATTGGCCAGCACAGCCACAGTACTGTGGCTGTCCAGGAGCCCCAGCCAGCATACCCAGAGGCACTCTGTGGCGCCTTCAGCCTACTTCATAGAGCAAGAGACCCTTCTCCACCAGGCAGAGAAGGAACTCCTGACCCAGATCCTTGGTGCTTGATCATTAAGGCCAGAGAAAAGGGAGTCAGTAACGTGGCTTTTAGTCACAGCTGACTCCTGTGGGTATGTGCCTGCTCAGTCTGGATCTCCCTCATAGGCACTAGAAAGCCAAGCATCACAACACGGGCTTGAACAAGCACCTGCGGCACACTCAGGCCTTCTCGCAAGGACTGGGTGTAGCTGGAGAAGCCACCTCCATGTTAGTACTTGCACATCTTGTAGGTGGACAGCAGTTTGTTGGCCCTTATGCTAGGTTGTTATCTTCAGCTCCCTGCATAGAGGCAAGCATGCACCTTTTGGTAAGAGACTACTGAATTTTGATTTCCATGTGGTACGGGTCATTGCTGTAAGGCAGACAAGTTGCTGGTGATGTTCATGCATAGCTGTGTAAGCATCAGTCAGCTGCAGAACTTTTTTTTGTCACCATGAAAAGAAAGCTTTACCCTTCTGTAGCCCTACTCCTCGTCCTGCAAACCCAGACAGGCACTAATGAGTCCCTTGGTCCTTAGGTATCTGCCTGCTGCAGACATGGCTGGGAGAGGGAAGCACTGGTTTTGTAGAATCTGTGGCAGACTCCTAGGGCCCTGGGGAAGGCCCCATAAGCTGCACCCATGTCTTCCTGTACGGACTTTTCTAAGGAGAACTTGACAACACACTGCGCGGCCTTTCTCTACTGTCTCCTCATGTACTACAGTGGGAGCCGTCAGAAGTTACTGGTGTTTCCATGAACCAACCAGCACATTTGATAAAGAATTGAATGGCTTCACTCTTGAATGTTACTACAAAATTACAATGTTCTTATAACACCTACTTTTAACCAATTTTCCAGGTAGCAGAAGGTCAGGAAATCTGTGTGATTGAAGCTATGAAAATGCAGAACAGTATGACAGCTGGGAAGATGGGCAAGGTATGTTCCCAAGCTCCTACTGGTCTGCTCTAGCGGTGACGGATGCGCCTCCACCTGAGAGACACGGGCGAGGCCATCTCTGCTAGCTGGCCCTTTCCTGGGGAGGACACCTGGGCAGGACTCGGGAGCTCCGCTCTTGTCAGTGTGTCCCTGCCTCCTGGAGAGGCAGGAAGGGGGTCTATGTGTTACGTTCAGGCAGTCAAAGCACAATTGTTCTCCACATTAATGTCTTTCAGATGAAGGGGATTTTAATTTTTAATGTTTACATCTGTCTCGGAGGCAGTCAGTTATCTGAGACTTAGGTGACACAGCAAGAAATGGTTTTACAGATTACAAAAATTAATGTAACTCAAGATAATTTCCCCTTGAAGGGAACAATTCAGTTGTAGATGGAGGAGCTGAAGCCCCATGTACACACGACAGGCGAGAGAGGTGTCAGCACTGGAATAGTTAAGAGCCGAACTTGAAGGAAACAGGAAAGTCCTGAAGAAAGCAGTGGTTTTGCTGTCCTTCCTGTGACTGGAGAGATGCGGTCATTCAGAAGAGCCGCTTTCCCAAAGGGCGCTTGGGTTTGGAAGAATCTACATCGAGTCAGAGGCTTGCAACACTTTGGGACACTGGGTTCAGAGAGAGATGCCAGTTACCACCAGGTCTGCGTCACTCAGCTCCTGTCTGTCTGGTGGTCTGTTATACCAGAAGGCAATGAGATGGACTCTCAGAAGAAGGCCTACAATTATTCTACCTGCTCCCCAGGGGAATAACAAGGCCTCCTGCAGGTTAAGAGAGCCACACAGTGTCTATAGGCTTAGACGTGTACAAAGGATCTGCAGGTCTAACGATCCTTTCTAAACTGAGCGTGGTGGCAGTTAAATCATAAGCTCCCCAAAATATCATTTTTCCTCTGAGAAAAGATTTAGGGTGCAAATAGAGCCACTATGTGAATCTACTACTACAGCCTAATCAATGTGCCATCATTAAACAATCACCATCCGTTTCATCCAGAAAGATCTGCCCAGTGAGGCCTTTGAGTATTTACACTCTGGGCTGCTCAAGTTTCAGAGAAGAGCCTGTCTCTTCTGCTCACGGTGGAGGGACAGGGCACAGGCCTGTGCGGCAGCCTGGATAATTCCTGGCATTTTTACTTGCTTAATCCCCAATATGGCCAGTCAGGTCAAAGCCACTTTTAGTTTATGGCTTAAGCAACCATTTCCAAGGAGGGAAATGAGGACCTCTTATGCACTCCAGTCTTCTGCCTACACAAATCGAGAGAAGCAAGGCAGAATTTTATGTTCAGCAGAAATCAGAAGAATGAAACATAATTCCACATTCTATGCCACTCAACTGAAGTGGGGTACTGAATTATTTCTTTCAAAAGCAGGGAAACGGTCAGGCTAAGAGATCTCTCCTTTTAATTCGTACCTGTTTGGATTGTGGCGTAGTTGTTTTTACCATGACACCAAATACACACTCTAGTCTCAAAACCCTAGGATGAAGCTGGGATGGGAAGCGTCAGTCACCAGCATGGACATCTCAGGACTGAGGACGCTGTGGCCTGGTCCTCTCAGGATCACCTGGGCTGAGTGACAGGAGGAGGCGTGGAGCATAGGCTTCTGTAGGACACTCCCACACTCTGGTTCCCTTACACAGACACATGTAAGCAGGTGGTCTAAGTTGTGGGGCCTAAGGCCACTTATTTCTCAAAAGGAATTGGGATGACTGGCCCTCTTGTTCTCATTCTTCCTCAACCATTTTAATTCCAGGTGAAATCGGTGCATTGCAAAGCTGGAGACACAGTTGGTGAAGGAGATCTGCTTGTAGAGCTGGAATGAAGTATTTCTAGCCTTTCAGTCATCACAGCTCTAATTAGCATTTCTATTATTCTCTAACCCTCAATTTCTTCAAGCATTTGCAGGAGCTCTCCTGTGCAGCAGGTTCTACATATCGTATTTATTCCTCAGAAGAGGCAAAACTGACATTCTGCCAAAAATCACCAATGGAAATTTTTATTGATATAAATACTTGTACATATGATTTGTACTTCTGCTGAGATTTCCTAGTGTCAAAATTAAATCAATAAAACCAAGCACTTGTCTAAATATTAGTTTGCCCTTTTTTTCTGAATGAAGACAATATGCACAGAGGCGACAGGCTGTGCCAATTGACTGTACATACTAGCATTTCCTTATGATCCTTTAAAAGTTTATATAAATCCCAGTTCTGCTTCCAATTTTGTAATCTGATTACCTCCCTTCTTCCATCATTCAGGACGGATTTCTGGGGCTCATTACTCATGACTTCCTCAGACCAGGTAGCACAGATGAAGGGTCTGGATGCCCCCTTCTGTGTGGGTCCATGGATGACTGAAGAGCTGGATCACCATCTTGGGGTCTGTGGACTGACAGAGGGTGCTGCCTGCGGTGATCCAATGACAAGCATGCTATCTAGGTCCCTTTCCCTCTCTCCATGGCTAGGATGCCTCCCCTTTAATGTTGTGGGCCAGGCTGCTACCCATCTTTGCCTTTCTGTTTTGTGAAGCAAGTTTCCAATTAAGAAAAAGGGGCTAAAAATAACAGTTGTGTTTCTGTGCAGTTGTTGAAGAGCGAGTGAGCTCTTAGCGGAGTACCAGGGTGCTCAGCCAGCAGCTGCATTTCGTTCTGCAATTCTTGGAATCCGTTTTCTACTTCAGTAGGAGGCAGCAGCAGAATCGTGTGCTGACAGATTATCAGATGGAGGTGGAGGTAATTGGTACTTCGCGGCTTCCCAACATTAAGTGTTGTTTGTATTTGGGAGCAAAGCCTTCTGTCAGGGCCTGAGGAACAAATTACTAATGTGTTGGTTTTTCTGAAAGGCCTACCCCCAAAGGCTGCACCTTCAGGTGGCAGAGATGGGCAAGGCTGCCGAGAGCTAGGTACCCATCAACAATATAAAGTCTGAGGGCTCAGCTGTCTCCCAGCAAGTCACTACTCTTGACTTCACTGAATCAGACTGAAAAACACCTTCAATCAAGTAAGTACATAAAAAGGACCAAACAACATACTTCTATTTTAATGGCTGTTTTAATAGTTTGTTTGTGATCTGGAAAGTATAATGGGTGATGGAATACATAGTCTAGGTGCTTTTCTTCAGGGTATTTTTCCACGGAGCCATCCCAAACCAGCATTTCCCATCACTTCCTTCTAGATTTCGTATGTGGGAATCAATACATTCAGTTTCTGAGATTCAACTGCAGCCGGGTCTCTGGTCACAGGAGATGCCATCTTTGGAGCAAAGCAAAGCAAAAAAGGAGAACCAGGTGCCCTGTAACTGACATTTAGGGGACTTCATCTCAGCGTGTCTCTCACCTAGTAGCTAGCTGCAAGCCCAAAAGCTCCCTTGAATAGCAAGCAATAGTAACATCGGATTAGAGCATTTGCAAAATTTGTGTCAAAGACCTTTTGTCAACGTATTTTATAGACAGATGTTGAGCCAGGCAACCACTGGGCCCCTCACCTGCTTTCCCGGGGGTTGTAGCGCAGCCCGTGCGGGCCCTCAGAATCATAGTTTTTATGGTAGGGGAGATGCAGCCACTCAGGGGCATAGGTGGCTGTACTGTACACAAAGCACTGGAGCCTGTCCCCAGGGTCATCGGCACCCTCCCACTCAAGCACCTGCACTTGCAGGGCCCTGCGCTGGTACATGCTGGGGCAGCCTTCGAAGTCATCCAGGAAGCTCAGCATCTGTTCATCCACCTTGTAGATCTCACCTGCCACACAGTGGCCCTTTCCCGGCAGGTGTAACAGCCATGGTATGTTGTGCTCGCCAGCGATCACCAATGGGAAGGACTCAAGTGTGCAGCCCCGGCCTTGGAAGGCTGCTGAGCCATGTGACTGGTCCAGCATCACTTTGTGGTTGGGTTGGCCTCGTTTCAGGGTGCCGTACACGAAGACGTGAGCCATCTAGCTGCAGGCACTATGAAGGAGAGAGCAAGCAGGCACTGTGTCAGCAGGTGAGGAGCTCCCTCATGGCCTCCTCCAGACTTAAGGCAGCACCACTACATTCACTACTTGTCAGGAAGAGAAGCCAGCTTCCTGGGTAAGGTGCCTGTGTCATGAAATGCTTTCTCTAGTTATTTAAAAGAACTGAAAGAGGCATTAGGCCAGCCTGTCCTGGAGTTTGCAATCCTGAACCTAGAAGAGGAGCAAATATTACCGACTTCAAAAATCTGGGCTGGGGGCATGGTATGTGGGCACACACCTTTACCTCAGGTAGATCTCTGAGTTCCAGGCTGGCCTGGCATAGCAAGCTCAAGGTCAGCCAAGACTATCTGGTGAGACACAAAATCTGAGCTGGGGTGTGACTTAGAGGAATACTCACTAAGCAACATGATGTTCTTCCATGTGTTTTTAAGCACTTGGAGCTCAAGTGATCCTCCTGCCTCAGCATTCTGAATAGCTGGTATTAGATTACCACTACAACTGGCAAACAGCACCCATAGCAATGCTAAGGAAGGAAGAGCAGGCATGTCAGCCACTCTGTACCATCAGGTAGACTGATACAGGTCTTACAAAGATCTCAAGCACAGCCCGCATATGATATGCAGGCAGCCCCTGATCATGTCAGGTGGGGCTGGAATAGAAAAGAAAGCCTTTCTTCCATTGACTTGGGATCACAAGTGGCTCACTCAGGTCTCTGTGATACCAGTCTGTTTCAGAACACAGGCCCCGCACCACCTAGTGGAAGCCAAGGTACCACCAGAAAAGGACGTTGGCCAGGCTGCCGTGTTAACTTGTGAAAGCATGCATGCCTGGATGAGCAGCTACACTGGACCCCTGCACTTTGGTGGCACTGAGATCCCAGGTGAGATCAGCCACACACTGTCATTACTGACTGCAAGAAGGTGTTCAGCCGAGAAGTTGTCTGTCAGACAGGAACAGCCCAGTCAGGGACCAACTCCTGAAGGCTGGCCACTTTCTTACATCATTAGCTTTGAAGTCCACACAGCAAGTATTATAAATAAGGAGAAACAAATATAAATAAGAACCTGGATCCCAGATTCTGGGGAAACCAAGGTCTCAGGAACACAGTTACATTCTGGTCCTGAAACTTAAGACCCAGCAAAACCTGTGGGCCCATAGCTTTCCTTCTCAAAGTCTTAGAACAGTGGTTCTCAACCTTCCTAACGCTGTGACCCTTTAAATACAGTTCCTCATATTGTGTGGTGACCCCCAACCATAAAATTATTTCATTGGTACTATCATGAATCACAGAACCACTGTCTTAGAAGGCAAAGACAATTCATGATTACTCACAACAGCAACCTTGGCTCCATGTAAAACTAACATTCCCTTAAGTCTGGGACACTGCCTCTGTGTAAAATATGGCTTGAAAATGCAAACACAGGAGCAAGTCTAAGAAATGCAAAATGACTATTATTAAAACACAGATTATCAATGAGAACAAAACACAAAAATAACACAATGACTGCAATACCACACTTTTTTTTTTTTTTTTTTTTTTTTTTGGTTTTTCGAGACAGGGTTTCTCTGTGGCTTTGGAGCCTGTCCTGGAACTAGCTCTGTAGACCAGGCTGGTCTCGAACTCACAGAGATCCGCCTGCCTCTGCCTCCCGAGTGCTGGGATTAAAGGCGTGCGCCACCATCGCCCGGCTTACCACACATGTTTTAATAGTAACTTTATGAATGCCTCAATCAAAAGACACAAGCTAACTGAATGGATCAAGAAACAAAAATCCATTAAATGCCTACAAGAAACAACTCAGTTTTAAAGATAGGCACTGAGTTAGAGGGTGGACAAAAGTGCTCCCATCAGATTAGACCTGAAAGCAAGCGTGTGTCACTGCCCTAATACTGCCACAACATACTAAGCAGAAGAGAGAAAGAGGAACCTTCATTCTTCTCAAGAAACAGCTAAGATGACATTATTATCCTAAACATATGCACCAAATTCTGGGGTGCCTAATTTCATAAAATTTCATTTCTACTAGTGGGATTTAAAGACACAGATTAATATAAACCCATTAATAGTAGATGATTTCAATATAGCAATTTTTCTAATAGACAGGCATCTTAGTTACTATTCTATTGCTGTGAAGAAACACCATGGCCAAGACAGTTTATAAAAGAAGGCATTTAACTAGGGGTTTGCTTACAGTTTCAGAGAGTTAGTTCAAGATCATCGTTGTGGGGAACCTGGTGGCAGGCAGGTAGGTTTGGCACTGGCTGGAATAGTAGCTGAGAATTTACATCTTATCCACAGGTTGGAGGCAGAGAGAGAGTCTGACATGGGATTTTGAAACCTCAAAGTCCCGCCTCCAGTGGCAGGCTTCCTCCAACAAGGACATACCTCCTAATCTTCCCCTAACATACAAATGTATGAGTCTCTGGAAGGCCATTCTCATTCAAACCACCCCAACAGGTCATCTGGACAAAACAGTGAAAGATCAGATTTTATAAAATATTCTACCCAAACACCAAAGAATATACATTCTACTTAATAGTACATGGAAGCTTTTCTAAAATGGACCACATCCTGGGACAAAAAACACTTTATAAATCCAAGAAGGTTGAAATCAATCCTTGTATCCTATCTGACACAACATAAAACTGACAGCAAAAAAATCTCTAGTAAGTACATACACTAGTGGAGATTAAAACCTCATTACCTGAATGATAATGGGCCGAAGAGGAAATCAAGAAAGAAATAATTTCCTGGAACTAAGTGAAAATGAAAATGTAACACCCTGAAAGCATTCCTACAAGGGCAAAGTACAGCTCCTATAAATGTCTGCATTAAAATTAAAGGCATGGTGGACTATGCCTTTAATCCAAGCACTCTGGAGGCAGAGGTACATAGAGTTCCAGGTTAGTTAGACTGGGCTATGTAGAGAGACCTTCTCTCACTGCCACCCCTCCAAAAAATAAAAAAATCAGAAAGAACACAAAAAAGTAGCTTTGTGATGCAACTACAAAAGCTGGAAAATAAGAACAAACCTAATCCAAACTCATGGCAAGAATAAAAAGAGCAGAAATCAAAGACATAGAAACAAAGGAAAAAAACAATCAACAAATTAAGAGCTGGTTCTGTTAAGAGCTGGTTCTTTCAGAAGATGAATCAAAGTTCAACAAATGGAAAGAAATAAGAGAATTCAAATAAAAAGAATCAGAAATGAGCAGGGAAACATCACAGACACTAAAGAAACTCAAGAGTGTTATAAAGGAATACTTTAAAAACCTATATTTCATTAGCCTGAAAAAACTAAGAAATTGATGAATGTCTACATTTAGCCAAACACCCAAATTAAAGAAGTAAACAACCTAAAGAGATCTATATCAGGGCTGGAGAGATGGCTCAGTGGTTAAGAGCACTGACTGCTCTTCCAGAGGTCCTGAGTTCAATTCTCAGCAACCACATGGTGGCTCACAGCCATCTGTAATGAGAACTGGCACCCCTTTCTGGCATGCGGACACACATGGAAGGAATGCTGTACACATGATAAATAAATCTTAAAAAAGAGATCTAAAAAAAAGAGGAGATTGAAATAGTAATAAGTATCCTTCCAGACCTTTGCACAGCAGAATTCTACCAGACTTTCAAAGAAGACCTATAGCCAATCCTTAAACTATTAAGAAAAAGGAAAAAAGAAAAGAAAGCAAAGTACTCCCAGTCCAAACCCTTCTATCACTTCCAAAAACAGAAACAAAAGAAACCTATAGGCCAATAGATCTGATGAACACAGACTCAAAAAAGTTCAATAAAATACTTATGAACAGAATTTCGACATATATGAAAAGATCATACACCATGACCAACTTTGCTTTTCCCCTGAAATATAGGATAGCTCAACATAAGTGAATAAATTCAACAAACCACATAAGTGGACGTAAAAGAAAAAAATCACATGATTCTCAATGCAGACTAATGCAGAAAAGGTTGACAAAATCCAACATACCTTTATTATAAAAGTCCTAGAGAATGTATGACTAGAGGAAATATCTCAGCACAATAGAAGTTAAATATGATAAATCCACAGTCAACTTCTCTTAAATGAAGAAAGGCTTAAAGCAATCTCCCTGAAGTCAGAAATGAGACAGTGCAGTCCAGTATCTTCACTTCCTTTCAATATTGAGCTCAAAGTACTGGCTGGAACAAAAAGGGAAAAAAACAGAAGGAACCCAAAAAATACAAATGGGGAACGATGTCAAGCTATCCCTATTTGCAGATGAACTAATATTGATATTATACATTAGCAGATCACCAAAATTCTACCAGAAAACTAGAAACAATAAATTCAGCAATGTGAGAGAATACAGAATCAACTTGCATGCATGCGCACACACACATACACGCCCTTTTCTATACACTAACAACACACATGCAGAGAAATCATAGACATGTTCCTATTCACAATAGCATCAAAGAAATTAAAATATCTAGAAATAAACCTCACTAAGGAAATGAAGAACCTCTACAGTGAACACTTTAAACCTCTGAAGAAAAAGATAAAGACACTAGAAAATGGAAAGACAGTTCTTGCTCATGAATTAGTAGACAATGACCATTTTATCAAAAACTATTTACAGATTCAATTCAATAAAAATCCTCATTTCATTATTCACAGAAATAGAAAGATCCTATAATTCATATGAAACCACAAAAGGCCTCAGTCAAAACAATCCACAGCAAAAATAACAATGCTGGAGGAACTGACGGTCCAGATTTGAAGCTATATTACAACCCATAGTAATAAAAACACGGTACTTGCATAAGAAGAGACCAATGGAACAAAACTGAAAACCTAAAAGTGAGTATATGTAACTTCAGCCATTTACTATTTGACAAATATGCCAACTTAGACTTGAGAAAAGAAAGTATCTTCAACAAATGGTGCTGGAAAAACTAACATCCACACAGTTGTAACCTTGCATGAACACTAACCCCACACGGATCAA